TCTTTTGATAGTTACTAAAAGAATATTATTAAAATATTGAGCGTTACTGAAATAAAGTCCAATTTTAACTCTGTTTGCAGAAGTTAAACCCATGCAATTATAATTCCAAGGACCTAAAATCATTGAAGGACTTTAGAGAAGTATTTACTCCTCAAGAGAAAATTTTCCAATTAAAAGGGGCTCGTAGTTTCAGGATGCTTCCTGAACACACCGAGCACCTTACCACCAGCAGTGCCAAATCCCTGCAGCTCTCCAAGCATTCCTGAAAACCAGGCTTTGTCTTATTCCTCTCAGATATTCTTTGGGGTGAGACTCTCAGGAATAGCTCCCACTGTGCCAAATTTAGGCTTAAGTAATTAGCTCAAGATCATAAGGCAAAACATCTGCAGAATGTAGAGTAGACATAGATACTCTGGCCTCAAGTGTTGTTTTTAAACTGACCATACAGAAGAAAATACAGAATTATACAGATCATAATTGTTAAACTGAGTTGGTTACAAGCGACACCTAAGTTATTCAAATAATGACTTTTTTTACTGATTAGAAATAGGCTTTTATACTTGGATCCTGATTTATCTTTAGTTAAATACCACTAAAATTCATGTTAAGTCATTGTGTTCTTGTCAACAGATTTTAGATTGAGTCAGCTCTATGCTCCCTACAAAGGACTGTTTACATTCTTAAAACAAATATCATTTTATATGACCGTTGGATAGAGAGCTGTGCAAGTGAGTTTAATCAGGCTTAAGTCACTTCTCAAGAGTCGCCAAACAAGCTTGAACAAACTGCACCCAATGTTTGGCAGAAAAATATTTCCACCAGTTTCCCCAACCCAGAGTTCAATCTGGTCTGGAAAACCAGCAAAAAAACGTTCCCCTTCTCGGGCACGAGTAAACAAGCAGTCAGTTTAAGCTCTACTTAAAAAAGTTAAATGTGATGGTGATACAACATCAATCACCTGAGGGGGGGGAAAAGTGAGGACTGTAGCACCTACCCCATCCCGGATAGGCTGGAAGTTTCAGAAGTGCTGAAATTTCTCAGTACTATGCACCAAGCAGTACAGAAGATGACTAAAGAGAGAGGTAAACAATCACGTCTGCTGCAACCGGTGTTAACAAAAACTTATGGAAAAGAGCTTCGGTCCCTTTGTCTTTTGTTGTTCAGTTGAAGACAACGATGAACAAGCATGAAAAAAGCTGCAGCTAAAGAGATAGCTGTAGCACTACATGCTGAATATCAAAATAAACACAATCTCAATTTCATTTTGAAATTTAAGGGGGGAAAAAAATCCAATCACATTCAAATTCTCTGTAGGTCAAGAGAAAGTTTGTTTTTTGGTTTTGTTGAAATGATATTTTTCCAGAAGACACTGAACTTCAATAAATGCTCCTTTTCATACTATGAAAATAACTCAGCACAGCCTCTCCTACGAAAATATTTTTCTCCTGGCACAACCAGGTTTCATTCCTAACCTCAGACGGCCTGACTACTTTGAGAACAATCAGCCACTTCTATTGATTAAACAAACATGAAAAGAAATTCATTCTCTTTAAAAAGCAGTTTTCTACAGCTTTCATAACACAGAAAGATGACAAAATAAAAAAATACGGTCATTTTGTGCTAATTCCTTTCTTTAATTTTATTGTCAGTCTAAATAATTAATACAAAGTTACTTCATTCTATGAAGATTAAGAAACTCTACAGTATAAAATTCCCTGAGATACCATATGTAACTTAAAGGATCACATAATTCTCTATTCCATTTACACCATAATCAAAAAGTAATACTATTTCTTCTCCTTATAAAAACCAGAAGATAATGATCTTCCTTTCTCTCCCTCCACCCCAATATTTTAAGGCATGGAATAAAACACTTTTTCAAAATGTATCCAAAAAGACTTTTCTACTTAAAATAGAAAATATATTTGCCTAATTTTTACAGATGGATTATATGCATCACCTGCAATATCTTGTGGAGTCTGGTACCTGACCTACAATCCAATTTGCTCAAACTTTTTATTCACCATTGAACTTGGGCTCTACAAAGTGAATTACAAAAGCCAGTCCTTAGCTTATACCGGTACACTATTAGCCTGTGGAGCAGATCCGCCAAAAACCAAACTAGATTTATAGAGCTGCTGTATTACTGACTTCAGCAGCTGTAGACTAGGGCTGAATTTCCTCCCAAATCTAAAGGGAAAAGTGTGCAACGCTAACACAAGAACTATGAAACTAGAAAAAGATTCTTTTCTCTCAAAGCAAGAGCTCTGCAATAATTATTACAAGACTGCAGTTTTCATTATACAATTCTTGAATATACTCAATGCATAACTTACAGCACAACTGTGAACATCTTATTCAAATGTGTTGCTTTAATTATTGCATAGCTCTTTTCTGAATTTTACAGAACTCCAGTTCATCAAAGATTTCAACTGCTTTTCTTAGAGAGGCTGAGAAAAAAAGTATCGGTTGTGATCTTTGGAAATTCCCGTGCTGCTGTAGCCTGATCTTCTGCCTGTGGCATTACTAATGATTACACAGAAGAACTGTGTGCCTGGAAACTTTCAGAAAATGCTAAAAAAATTAGGACAACTGAAAAAAATGCAGTTTCAGCAGACTGATAAAAAGTAGTGCAAACTTAAATATTAGTTCACCACTTTTAAGATCGGATTTTTGTATACATTTACATGAACTGTGATAAAAACTGAACAGAAAAAAAGTATAATTCAAAGGTAGACAGATTCTATCATCCTGACACTTAGCTATTACTGTTAATGCTACATTTAAATTAGATTTTTAAAATTATCAAAACCAATTTTATGGGAGTAGTAACCACTGGTAGAGAAACAGATGAGCATGCCATGAAGAACATGCTTTTGCTTTAAACAATCACTTAAGACCTGTTCAAGTGAAAATGCAGTGTTAGGGACCATCCCTACTACACTCCACATAGCGTTGACTGTCTTCTCTCCTTTCCCAATAAAATTTCTGACATTAACAACAGAAGCAACTCATTAATAACAAACAACTCTGACATTAACAACAGAAAGGTTCATGAAGTACTTTCAGCCATCCTTCCTTGCACAAAAGCAGAAGGGAATAAACGTAGGAGCCAGCAAGATCTGATCTGGTAAATCTGTGCAAATTATTAATGAACTTCATTATTATTAGATTTTTTTTTTTTAACAATTCTTGGTTCCATGCTTACCTAATCATGGGGAACATATAATTTAAAATAAATAACAGTAGGCTGCCAGCTCATAAATCTTAAAAGCACCTACCCGACATCCCTTCCTGCTCAAGTAAAATCTAAACCTTTTCTAACCTAATTATGACTCACAAACACCAGTGAACTCACCTGTTCTGATGCCCATCTTTTATTTGCAACTGACTTTCTTCTTTCCCCACCTGTTCTGTGCCCATGATTTTATTCCGAGAGAAGTCTCTGGGTAACCCCATGGATTATCCAGCCCCTTAAATAGGAGCTGGACGAATCCCTTAATCATTTGTGCAGGACTCTCGTGGGTTATCATGTTTTGCCACTAAACCTTATAGTTGCAAAGGGCAAGGAGGGCTCAGCTTCCTGAGCATGTGTAATTGCATTTCAAGTTTCTTTCTGGATTTCATCAAGCAAGATTACACGTAACCAAGAAGTAACCATACACTGACTACCAGGAAGACTCCAGCAAAATGGCAGAATCTGAAAGGGAGTAACTACCATAAATGTTCCCGGTAGGTACTGAGAGAAGGAAGTTTTATCTTAGGAATCTGGAAAAAACCCTCAAAACCAAAGGAAAAAAAAATATTAAATCTTTCCCTTTTCATATTCTTTCCCCACACAATCTGTATTTTACCAACAGTCTAGACCTTATTCTCTACAGTAATTTTCTTTTTGAAAGGCAGTGATTTGGGAATTGAGTTTTGGGGTGGGTTTTTTTGGTAATTATTATTTTACAAACAGCAAAGCAGCATTCTGAGTAGTCTGTCACCCAGCAGAATTTTTTAAAATGCGTGCCATAAACTAAAACAATCGCTGCGCAACAGGACTGTCTAATGATACGAGAGAAGTTAGCCTTTCTGTATACATATTCAATGTAGTAATAAAAACCCTGTAGTTCTGAGCCTTTCCCTGCTTTTTCCTATATGGCAGTAATTTTGCAGAGAAAAACATGCAGATTCCTGTAAACATTTTCTAATTCCTGAATAGGGAGGGTGGAAATGTTCCAACTTTTTTCCTGTTCCAACAGTCTGTCTTTCCCTGTACTTCAAGTTCTTCTCCACTTTCATACAGGATAAACACACCTACGGTTTCGGTAGGCAGTGGAAGAAATACTCTACATCATCTGAGCTGTTTGTTCCACTCAGATCCAGTCCCCTCCATACACTTTTTCCTAAATGGAATTATTATTTGGCTCAAAGCATTATTAGTTGGCTGCTGCAATTTCAAACATTGCTAAAAAGTGCTACTGTATCATGACATTCTTACATTCAACACTTGTGGCTCAGAATTTGTCTGCAAATAGCTTTCACACCCATAATAATCACTGTTAAAAATATTCACTTTTGTCTTCGGAGTACAGAAAGCCAGCGCTGATCATGTATCCCCCGTAAGCAGAAGAAAGTTTCATGGTCCAGGAAGCTGTCATAGCCGACAAAATTGGTTTCAGCTGTACGGCTGAAGAACTTGGCATCGGTTATTTATGTTGAGCTGTGCACAACTGTAAAGGTTTCAGATCTGTACGACTTCTGGAAATTTAACTTTGCCCTTTAAGAATCATCTTGCCTGATGTTTCTTTGTACTTCCATAAATTTGCACTTTAATAACAATCTTCCTTTTGTAAGCTTTTCACAGCTTGTTTACCTGTACCTGTATGCTTCTCTCACTGATGACAGCCTTCTGCGTACTACCTCGGCTAATGATCTCTGTGAGATCCATCCTTCCTTTTTTTTAGCCCCCTGCGGGCACGGGCGGCCCAGACAAGCCTCACCTGCCAGGAACATCAGCTTTCAAACCAGCTGGCCAGATTTCGTACAGTCTTGATTTGATTCCCAGCTGTCCTCACGGCCTCACAAACCTTGCAGAAATGCTCGTCCCAGAACGAAGTGACGTGGACCTCGTACTTCTTCCTCCAGGCAAAATACCTCCTGTAGTTGGGTTTGTTTTTATCAAGGAATTTCAGGTAGGTGGCCAGCAGCCGGGGGCTGGGGAAGTCGTCGACATGGATGAAGGAGTCAGGGGGGATGAAGCGCTCGTAGTTGGCCCTGTGGGGTCCGAGGACAACAGGCACGGCGCTGGCGGCAAAGGCGTTTCTCCAGAGCTTCTCCGTGATGTAGTCGGTGTGCTGGGAGTTCTCGAAGGCCAGGTAGAACTTGTAGGCTGAGATGGTCTCCACTACCACCCCCCCCTCGGCCAGCGCCAGCCCCCGCGCCCCGTACACATCGATGGCGAGGTGCTCCTTCAGCTGGCGGTAGTAGCGCACCCGGGCGTGCTCCTCGTTCCAGTTGCTGATGACCCAGGCCACCAGCC